GATTTTCCTTATTACAGGTGCCTTCATTAAAATTCTTTTCCTGTTTTAGTACTTCTGGATTGCCACAAGAGGGAGGCTTTCTGTCTTAGACAAACAGAAACAGAAACGGGTGTATCTCAACAGAGCAAAAATACACTTCAAAGTAGAGCTTTTTCCCATTTTACAGTAAAATCTCTCCTGCAGTTTGATTCACTATCTAATTTGGGGTTCCACCTGGTATCAAAACACAGGTGAAATATGAAAAAGAGGAGACTTGCTAATTGTCTGCATGTGAGGAGACAGGTAAATTCTGAGCCCTAAAGCAAGCTGAATGACAGACTGCTGCACTACTCCTTCAGATGCTGCCACATGATCTGCAAGCTGGTTTGGGAAAAGTCAGAGCCCTTGGCCTAAAACTGTTTCGTTTTTCTCCTATGTCACATGCACAAAACTAGCCTTGCTCCCAAGAGGTAACCTATTTGCCATCGTTGCCTCTGTACGTAACTTTGCTGTGAATAAGCCACTTGGCATCATTTAAGGCTCTTTACAGTAGCAGAGCAGCTGTCAAGGCAAATGTATATAAGACCTCATGAAAATTGAGTGGCTTTTTTTTTTCTGGGAGAAAGATGCATATTTAACAAGAAAAGACTGTCATTTTTTCAATATGTATAGAAATAGGTTACAGTTTAGACCTTGACTGTCATAGTAGCAACACCCAGATGAACTGTAAAGACTAACAAAAAAGCAATTTTTATGAACTACGACAAAATTAGTAAAAAACACACACAATCAAGAATGCTTGTAATAATCTATAATAATCTTTTTTTGTTTGCTTTATTTTGTAACCAGATAGCGCACACTGTGTAAAGCTTATTTTGCTATGTAGCAGTAAGGTTTTTTTATAGTATTTAAATATAGAAACTTATTAGAAAATTATAGCCTAGAGAAGTTATGCAACTATCTTGTATACTTAGAAGGAAGGAAGTTCTTACCAACTTCTGCCCTGAAAGAACCTCCAAAAGGGCAATTAGCATTACCCCATCTTTGATATCTTCAAACAGATCATTCACCAGCATGGGAGGATTGCGCTGAAACGGTAGAAGACTTAAGATATTATAAAGGTTCACCAGTATTACATTCTAATTCCTTTCCTTTCAAAGAGAGTGGCTGGTCCCCGTCTTTGTGTTTTATAGTGTTTAATATTAATGCATCCATTAACCATTGCTTTGCCATCACATTGTTTAACTATTTAACTGATGATACAATGCAAAACCTCCTGCTCCCCAAAATAAGCAAAGAAACCCACCAATAAATGCACCATCAACAGCACAACTTATGGATGTACTATTACAGTCACATTTCAATCTATCAGCATATTTTCCCTGCTGTTAAGTATGCCACAGAAATTTCACTGTTTTAGTCCAAGCAATACAAGGAGTTGTATGACAGAAAGATCCCTAGACTGTAGCTGATTGAACAACACTGCTACTTTTCTCACAGCTGACAGTTGTTACACTGAGTTGCTGTATTTTCTCTTCTTTCATCTCCTCCAGGCCTCGCAGGCTTCCGGTGCTGTTAGCACTGTGTCAGCTCTTACTTAGGATAAATTGCTTAGCATATGTCTTTACATTCACAAGCACAACAATGATAATACTGAAAAATATGTGAATGGATGATCTTTTAGAAATTTTAAGTGACAAGATCAGATCATAAAACTCAGTATTCTTAAATGCATCCCAGTTTGTGGAACTACTGCTCTCAGATGGTCAATACTTCTATGATCACAAAATATCTCTTAGAAACAAAAAAATTAAACTTGGTCCAGCTGAAATAAAACCATCCTCCAGCTTCCAAGAGCTAGTGAGCATTCACATACCATAGATAACAATACTAAAACCAATAATAATCATAATAATAATAATACCTGCTAATTCACTGAAATGACAACAAAACCATAAAAGTCTTGATATTCCTTTAGGTTTAATAATTTACTTTTGGGGTACTTTTTAAAAGAGGTGTTTGTACAACAACTTATCTATTACTTTTGTTGTGTAGAAGCAGAGATGTGCAAAGATGAACCTAACAAATGAAACATTGCTCTTGAAAAGGTAAAAGTGCTATAGGAGATGAGGGAAAAGCAAAGGTTTCCAGCTCCCAAAATCAAAATATCCCATCTTCATTGTTCATCTTGGATAAATTAGTATTTCAAGGAAACATAATTTTGGTATAAAGTGAAAAAAATCCTCTGCTGAAAGCAGACTTCATCTGAGATTCGACATTCCCTAACAGCCATGCTAATAGAAAAGTCTATTTTCTCATGTATACAAAGCACCACTACAACTCATTACAAGGGTATATTTAGTCATAGTTCTTCTTTATTTCCTTAATATAACACCAAAGAAATCAATGGAGCAAACAGGTCACTGGAGATTAATTTGAATCAGTCTTGCATCACAGGCAGTTGACATCAATGCAATTAATTTTCCTCACCTTCTATGTTATCATTTCCTGTTTGAAGTTTGGAGCAGCTTTGATTTTATCAGTATTACTGCATGATAAAACAATGAAGAATTACGTGCTAAAATAATTCAGCAATAAAGACAAGAGGATAATAGCAGCTGCCATCCTAATCCAACAGTAGGTGAAGGCCTAAAATATCACACCACCTGTGTAAGTGCCCCAGTAGTGAGGTTTGTCTCCTGAAATTCACTCTACAGTAGGGAGTAATGAAGAGAGAGGGCAATCTAGGATACATTTAGATTGAAGGGTGGGATCTACAGTGTCCCATACCTCTGGTGCCTGGAACATGCTTGCCAACAACCTGTTTGAGCACAACACAGCTCCCTTCTAGCTTCTGTGCTTTGGTATTCTTACTCACAAATCAAGGTAGAGGCCAGAATTTGTCTCATCCGAACGTGAAGTCAAGAGTCATCTGGAATTCATATGCAAATCAAGTCTGGGAAACACTTCTGTTTTCCACATGTTGTAGTTTCACACTATAGATAAAATCTCTGATACTTTGTGTCATCTCTTGCTCTGAACTACCCTTGGGTGGCATTCACAGAAGATTAAAAAAATAGATTTACACCCTAATGTAGGCATGGTACTATAGTAAGGCAGTGAAAGTACCCCTGAGACATCATCCAAGTTAATTAACAGCAACAGTACTTTCTTTTCTACACAAATCAAATATCAAATAGCAAAGAAACTATCAAGGACCAAAGCTGGTAAGATCTGCTGCTCTGAAGCATGAGAATCACAATTGTCAGGCTGAAATGTACCTTTTGTTGCTGGAAGGTTGCACAAATACAAACACTGCCAGTGTTTAGAAGCACTAACCATGTACCTTAACACCAATAAAACAGTAACAGAAGGCAGATACAACACCTGCGTCCCAAGATCTCCTGCGTGACACCCCTCTAATATGGAAAATGAGTTAATTATACAGACTGCCAAAAACGTTTTCCACAATACACTTTATAATATAATGTTTTTCACTTCCCTGAAGATGTTAGCACCAAATTACAAGGAGGTAAGACCCTAATTGAGTTTCATAAAACACTTTTTTTTTTTCCACTACTCTGGACACATAGCATAGCATTTACCCTATTATTATGGTTCCAGTCATTTTCAGAAGCATGGAATGAGTTATATTTTCATTGGCATATATAAAAGAATAGATTACTCTTTTACATAAGCATAGATACCAATCTTATTCCCCATGCTGACACAATTCAGAAAGATATACATACACTAGCTGATACTGAGATGTTCATATATGCTTATTTATTAAGGACTATTGCACTTAAGCTACATAAATGTTTTTCTAGCAGATCTTCCACTGAGATTAAAATATCATCTTCCATTGGAATGGGTATGCATGTACTCCTTGGACGCATATATAATGTCAAGTGACGTGAAAGAAGAAAGTGAAGCTGTACACTGCTTAATTACTGCTTCCAGAGAAGAAAGGGGTTTTCTTTCAAGCTGTATTCAGTTAGAATCTATTGAATATTTTTTATTCTAGAGACTCAACAGGACTTAACAACTATTCACCTAGTTGCCTTAATGCACTGCCAAATTGCTAACTGTGAACCAGTAAAAACGGGGGAAAGAAAACTGACTTAACATTTTGTAATTCTACAGTGTTGAATGTACTCCATATTTTGGCTTTTTGTATGTAAATGTATAGCTCTAGCAATGCAATCAACTGCAATGATCCTAATACACTGCACTTTGAATGTTGGAAAGCCTGTGCAAAGAATTCAATTAATTTTTAAACCAGGAAAAAAGATCATTTAAAAAGTATATAAAGTAACCTCTCAAAAGCCTGTAACACTAAAGCAAAGCTGTCAGTTATAAACTCCTTGAACAAAATTCTTTGGTGGAATTCAGAATATACTTTGATGAACAATCAGACATTAAATCTTCAACTTGTCAGGTCCACAGTATGATTTCAGATGCCTCAGTATTTGATTTTGTTTTTTTTCAAGTTTCTTCAAGAAAGCAAAATAACAAAATAAAAGTAACGATCTGCTACATATTGCATTTCACAAATTCTATTAAACACTCATTTATTGCAGTATATGCGATCACAGTAGTGTAGTTTTTAGTCACAATGATACTTAGGAACAGTCATGTCACAAAGAGGGAGGCACACTCAGTACAAGTAAATTCATGTGATCTGTAGGAGGAATATAAATTAATAGGGAATGAATCTTAGAGGTCAATGAACCAGGTTTTCCTGCTATTAAATATTTATTTAAATAACTGGACTTAGAACTTACCATAAATGGGAACTGAGAAGGAAATGATTTGCTGAAACTTCTTGCTCTTACAACTTGTCTAATTTGCTGTAGTGGTCAGGAAATATTCTGAATGACTTAAGGAACTGAACAAGTATGAAAAATACTAGACCAACAAGCCTCAAAAATAGACATTTTTAATAGACCTGCAATCTGCAAACATTCCTCCTCTTACACAGTAAAATAAGTTTTGTAAATCCAAACTTTAGATATGGAACCGTATGTTTGCTAAGCTTCACTCTTTTATTCCAACACTTTTTCTTGCATTTAATTTCGCATTTGCATCTTTGTTACAAGAAACTTTTCCTCACACCCTGTACTTACTAACATCATGGAAGCAGTGTGTGTGAGAGCTGTAAATGTTGATATAACCATTTCTTTTTCTTTCTTTCGTTGCTATAGAAGTTATCATTTTGAAATTCCAAAAGCCTTAATGCAAGGTTTAATGCCCAGGTTTAATTCAGCATTATATAAACATTGTGTAAGTATAACTAAAAATGTTCACTCATTCTTATTTGATATCCATCCTCTGCTTTTGTCTGTTAATGTCTATCTCAGTAAGTATTTGTTGTTCACTGTAATCAGTGAGCTTTACAACAATACTTTGGTGTGTAGAAATACTGAAGTTATCCTGACACCTGGGAACAAAGATGTTATTTGATTGGGTTAAACCAATTTACATTCTGTGTCCAAAGGTTTGAAACTTCTGATTCCTCAAACTTTCACCAAAGATGAAAAAGGCAATAAAAGGCATGTGCCTCTGCTGTTTTACAAAGAGACATATTTTTCATGTTCTTTACTCATCTAATCCACTATCTAAAAAATCAGCATAGGCAACAAAATGAAAAACATTTAAGTTTAATTGATTTTCTGAATGCATGTAATGTCTCTTTTTTGAAATACATGCTATAAAGTTGTTCTGTATTTTTAAACTTAGACTTCTAAAAGATGCCTCAATGATAATCAGAAGCACAGTCAAATTACACCTATTCTTTGAAGGCCGAGACTGAGAGGAGGGAGCACAGTTCTACAACCATAGAGAAATATGAATAAATAATATGCAATTAGAAAACTTCTTGTCCTGTCACACATTCATATCCCATTTATCATTAGTAGGACTGCACAGATGCACAAAAATTAAACAGGATGGTCAGAAGATAGATCACATTCATTTCGTAGATTGTGACCCAATTTCTGCAAGTGGCTGGCAAAGAAAAGAGATGATTTCCAATTTATGAGTCTCACGAGATTACCACCCAGAATCACAGAAC